CAACGCTCCCCACAGGCTGAAAACAAAAGGATTTACGAGCGAGCTGACAGGCGAAGTGTCAGGACATCATTAGCTCAGTTACTTAAAATGCTCGAGCGTTTGCAAACTCTGACATTTGCTGTGCCCTCCCAGCTGTTGTGCCCCCAGGCCCAGATCAGCTGGAGTCCAAGGATGCACCTCAGCTAGCAGAGCTGTTAATTCTGAGTTAATACCCATGAGTCACATTCAGACCGCTGACATGAGATTAAAATGCCTGAACAGTGTTATTTTGGTTTTAGGGAGTCAGCTCGCCTTGACATCTCTTGACAGCAAGAGCAGATATCCGCAGAGCCGCTCCGAAGTTCACTTGCAGAGTCAAGTCCCAAACTTGCCTCTGGCAAAGCACTGCTGCGTGCACAGACCCACGGGGGCACGCCTGGCCCGGGGGCCCCACCCTGCAAGTGTCAGCCACTTACTGTAAGAAGCGTTAATTATGACTGATTTGCGCTCAGCACTGAAACACCAAGATCATCTCCTAATCATTTGCTCTAAGATCTTTCAACCACCGATAAATTATTCCTCCTTCCCAGCTAGCAGCCCAGTGCTCCAGGTACTGTCTCCCTTCGCTGCGGAGTTCTCACCGGCTGCCGTTTTAGGAAGACGCTCGAGGGACACCTACAGCCCAGACTGGAGATCGCAGCCACATACAAGTGACCACCCATCACAAATAACCCTCGGGTATGTAGCTGCCTTGGAGAGGAAAAGCCCTGCTTTACCTTCTTCATCTGAAATTTGATGGTAGATTTGACCTCATCCACCTTGGCCACCAGGTTCTCATTGTGAGTGAGGAGAGAAGGGAATTTGCCGGCTTTGTTCAAACCTGGACCCAGGATTCGAGGAATCTGCTTGATCAAGGACTCGGAAGCCAGGAAGGCATCGTACTTCTTCGCTGTGAGGAGAGAACCAAGGTAGGTAAGGACGGACTCTCAGCTCCTACACCGAGCTTGAAACTAACAGCTCAGCTGAGGCTGCGCTGCTCCATTTCCCTCACGTGTGCATTTCCACGTTCCCAGCGTCCCGACTAGCTGAACCTAAGCAGTTTCTACTAATATTGTATTAGAAATTACTCCTGTCACACCAGCCAAGCCTGCCAGCACTCAGCTCCACATCCTGACAGCAGTCCCACGCTCCCACTGTGTGTAGCTCACTTCCCTGAAGCATTTGTCGAGCCACAGGTGACCAACGCCCAACTCCCGAGCTCCACCGGGAGCCTCCTACTGCGGCGCGTGCACGTGTGGATGGATGGACACACCTCAGAGGGGCTCAGCTAGCAGCCGCGGTATCCTATGTCATTTCCTAATTACGTATGGTTCCATGGCTAATTATGGATTGAGTGGGAAGTTTTTCTTGTTTGTCTAAGATATGTATCAAAATGACTTTGACTTTGCAGGGAGGGAAGGGTTTTCTCTCTTACCAAGTGAAAATAAGCAAGTTTCCTTCTGTTTGTTTACGTACTGCGGGACTAAATCCAACTTTCGCCTCCAGCTTTACTCGGCTCTTGCTGCACTCCAGCTCCCTGACCGGTGAAGTGAGGAACACCAGCTAAGGGTGAAACTTTCAGGGGGACAGGAAGAGTTTTCCTGTATCACCTCCTTCCGGAGGAGAGCAATCAACCTCGCTCCCGGCGGGCTGACCTGTCCTCCTGCTCTCCTAACAGGTTGTTTGCTCTCGTGGGTAGTTTCTAGACAGATTTCTGTACTCCAGGCTGACTCTGGTCAGCTTCCTATTCCCTGCAGTTAACCGTGACATGGAAATCTCGGCACAGGGAAAACCGTCCCGCTTTCCCAGCCCTCCCAAGTTAGCCAGAGGTACTCAGAGGTACTACCACCACTCACCCAGCTTCTTCACCAGCTTCTTGTTTTTGTTGAGTTTCTTCAGAGCTTCTATGTCCATGTGAGGGATGTCAACCGCTTTGGCCTCGTCGCAGTGCTGCTGGTCCCCCAGCAGGCAGACCGAGAACTTGGGCCGTGGAGTTGACTTCAGCCTGGGGACAGAAGGTCCGAATTACTATGAACTGCCAGCGCCACACACGCTTCCAGGGGAGCCATCGCAGAGTTACCTTACCACAGTGCCCGGGAATCTTCCTCCACAGCTTCTAACCTGCCTTCTCCAGCAGGTCGGTGGGGAGAGCACAGGGGCCTCCCACACCTCCCCTCATGTTTTAAGACCCAGGGTAGGGGTCCGTCCAGCCGCACCCACTTAGCTGGGGTGGTCTGAACTACCCAAGCGGTTCAGCGCTGCGTTCTCCTCCTGTTGCAGCCGGCTTGCCCTGGGGAAGGGCCCGGCGGCGGTGGGGGGGGCACAGGCTGAAGGCTGGGTGGGAGCAAGAGGATGCCGAACCTGACGGTGCCGGAGAACCGCTTGTCCTTCTGCGGGTCATAGTTCTTCAGGCTGATCTGCAGCTCCACCGTCTCCACAAACATGAGGGAGGGGAGAGGAAAGCGGCGCAGGTGAGGGCCCAGCCGGGCTGGGGGAGAGCGAGACCCCGGCCAAGCGCCGGGGCCCGTGACGCGCCCGCTCCTGCCATGGCGCAGGGCTCTTACTTGCGCTTCTTGGTCTTGCTGCCCTGCAGCACCTCCTTCACCGCCTCGTACAGGGTGTCGCGGGAGACCTTGCTGCTGCGGGGGGGGAGAAAGACAACGCGGGCTCAGGGCTGACCCTGCCCGGGCCTCCTGCAGGCCGCGGAGGGG